CCTTAACAAGAACCCTAAACCCTAATCCCTAAAAAAACCTCCTTAACAAGAACCCTAAACCCTAAACCCTAATCCCTAAAACAAAACCCTTAACAAGAACCCTAAACCCTAAACCCTAATCCCTAAAAAAACCTCCTTAACAAGAACCCTAAACCCTAAACCCTAATCCCTAAAACAAAACCCCTTAACAAGAACCCCAGGGAGGAAGCGGGCAAGGCGCCATCTCCTCCCGGCTCTTCTTGTTCTCCGGCTTCGGGTTCGTGCTCTTGAAGTCCATGTCCTCAGGGGTGCTTTCGCTTCGTTTAGGCCTTATCGCAATAGCAGCACTACTGGGGATGAGTAGGGTTTAGGGTTTAGGGTTATGGGTTTATGGTTTAGGGTCTAGGGTTTAGGGTTTAGGTAGTAGGAGCAGTAGCAGAAGAAGCAGCAGGCGCAGGAGCATGAGGAGCAGAAGCAGCTGTCAGTAGCAAAGTATCAGAAGTGCCGGCAGCAGTATTCGTTGCAGCAGCATAGCTCCATCATTCGGCAACCCGCCCCCAAAGTATCAGAAACTGCAACCCTACGTATACTCTACAGGTCGAAAGCCACCGTCCCCTCAAGCAGCCGGTAGATCCTAAACCTGCGAAGAACCCTCAACAAGAGCTCTGAATCCTACGCCCCTCAAGAACCCTCCCTAAACCAAAGCCCTACATCCCAAGCCCTCGGCCCATGACCAACTCCAAAACAGGCAACATCCACCTTTGAACTTTGGAGCCAAGGTGCTGATATTAGGAAGTATGACATTATCCCACTTAAAGGTTAAGGGTTACTTTGGAGCCCCAGTATTAGGGATTATGACAATATCCCCACTTAGAGGTTAAGGCTCCTAAACCCGAAACCCTAAGCCCTAAACCCGGTTAAGGGCTACTTTGGAGCCCCAGTGGCGTACTTTTGCTCGTCGCCCTTCCAGAACTCTGAGGAGGCGGGGTCCGAACCGATCCTGCCATTCGATGCAGGGGGGCTGTACTATCAGAATAGGGTTCCTCGGGGCTCCTTGAAAGGGTTCCGTCAAAAAGGGATACGGATGACTCTGAGGGGGCTTCTGCAAGGAGGGTTCAAAAATTGTGGCCTCCTCGATCATTAAGCTGACGAGAGCGGGGGTTGAACGGGCTTGGGTTTAAAGGCTTGGGGATTTAGGGTTGAATGAGGTTAGAGGTTCAAGGGGCTTTACTTGTTGAAAAGTTGAGAGTTCTGGCGTCCAAGGCTTTGAGGTTAAGAGGGTGATGGGTTTACCAGAATCTCAAAAACTCCTGGGCATCAACAGCCCAAATCACCCCCGAAGGGCTTTTGGAGAAGGCTTTTTTTAAGGGACCGAAGGCCCTGTGGTCGGTGCTATATTTCCTTTATGGGCCCTCGGAAAACTAGAGAAGTTTCAGGGTTCACTGCTTGAGCTTCGCGTGGAGAGCTACCAAGTGCAGAGGGTTAGGGTTTAGGGTTTAGGGTCTAGGGTTTAGGGTTTAGGGGCTGCATGACCCATAATAAGGTAAAGTACTGCGAAGGACCTATATCCTCAACAGAGTATCACCACAAAAACTTGCGTGCCAAGGGACAGGATCTTGCCCTCGTGGCCCGCCTCGCTGCTCAGCGAAGGCGGGGGCTGAAAGTTTAAGGACATTCAAGCAGGCTTCTGCTTGTTTTTGGGAGTTGTGTGTCCTTGGGCCTTCAGAGATTTAGGATGATTTAGGTATGAGGTCGCCCTTTCCTCCAGACGGACCGAAGGCCGATTTTTGCTCGCAGCTTCGTCGGGGCCACGCTGCGCTTCGACATCATCGAGAACGAAGCCTGCCCACGTGGATATCGGTGTCGTGTCCAATGCGGTCAATGGCCTTTCGGAAGATTCCTTGAACTCTCCTGTCCAATACAGGAATCCGTACCCGGATTTGGTTGCACCCAGCCGCCCTCATACAAAATAGACGCCGGTGGTCTTCAGTCCAGTAAAGTTCCTGCTGCTCGCCATGACGCTTGACAGTGGCCTTTACGGCGTTCAGGATAAACTTCGGGTGCCTGAGCGGGTCAACAAGTCCCTCTTTCAACTCGTGGATGGTGGATTCCAAAGGCCTGCCGTCTTTGAAACGCGGGCTGCACCAAGTCTGCAGATTGGCCACTCGATGGATTGGAACAGTCTCGATAACCTCGCAGGTGCCTTTTGCACACCGAGGTGATCGCGAGCGATACCGCTCGTCCGCACCTGACCAAGGATGCCCATCGAAATCTCCTCCATCTTCATCGTCAGGGGTCCTCACCCAAGTACTTGACGCCCAGCCGCGCTTGTTTGTGCCAGCGTGGGATGAAGACCAAGAAGGGTTCTCCTGCGTGTCCTCTGATCTCCAAACCCGATAACGACGCCAACCGTAATTGGCTCAACCATCATCGCAAGGATCCCACCAGGGCCAGCCTGAAGCTGAATGGCGTGGGGACTGTTCACGCTCATCTGCATCTGGGCGCCTGTCTTCTTCATCTTCCTGGTCGGGCGGAGCACTCGCGGTTGCATGTCCAGCTAAGCCAGCTGGTCTGGGGCAGGGCGGTGAGGGATGCGGTGGGACTGCATCGCTTCTTGAAGCATCGCCAAAACCACCTTCGAAACACCTTACAAGTTCGGTGAAACCCTTGGCCTCGGCAATCTGGCGAGCTGTTCTGTTGTGTCCCTGGTACTGAACCTTGATGTTCACATCAGCTCGATGTCCCAGCAACAATTGCACCATGTCCACGTCCGCTCTCCACAAGCAAGCCTCATGCAGCGCATTGCGAGTGCCCTTGCACGCATGGTATGTCACAAGATCAACTGATGCCCGGGCAGTGAGCAGTGCTCTTGCTGCAGACATCTGGTTGAAGCCTGCTGCAACGCGCAACATCCACGATCTCTCCTCGATGTCCAGTGCCATCAAATCCGGCACATGTGCCTCGGACAGGTCTTCGTTTCTTGCCCGCGCATTCCTGTAGCTCATCACACGTGCCGAGGCCTCGGCGTTCTTTGGTCGCCCGGGCATTTTTGCAGCCAGAGATTGGGGGGGGCGCACCTATCTGAGACTTGAGATGCAGGTGAGAGAATTGCAGCCATACTTCCTGAAAAAGCATCCAAGCCCCAACATAGTCGCATCCGAGCATCACGGGACCAGAATTGCCGGGGACAACCTTCCCCCTACGAAAGCATGGTGAAGGACCCAGCAATAAGAACAAAAATCTGAACAGTAGTGGTGACAGTAGTAACAGCCGTAGCAACAGTAGTAACAACAAGAAACTAGCAAGAACAATAAGTACAGTACTGCAGGTGGTAGTAATCGTAGTAATGATGCTAAAAAACCATAGTAGTACGTTTAACAACAACAAGAGAAAAGTCATAATCGGAATAATCGCCATACTCTTGCCTGGCTGATGGCTTCCAGCAGCAGCTTCAGGCCCTGCAACAGCTCTTTGCTTCTTCTCCCTGGTTCTTAGTAGGGAATGCGGGAATGGATCTTCATGATAGTCCCTCAAGGTTCCCTCTTGTAGTCCCAATAACCCATTCCCTACTAAGAACCAGGGAGTCTTTGTAACCTGCCGTTTCATGTGAGGGTTGCCGAAAATAGGGGACCCTAATATAGTACCCTAAATAGTAGGATCCTTATTATAAGGACCACCAAAAGCAAGGTACCCCCTGATGTTTTTGGAAAGTCCCATGTATAAGAGACTCTGGGAACCCCAAAGCCCGTAGAGTTTCAGGTTTAGGAGGTTTTGGGTTTAGTGTTTAGGGTTGGGGGGTTCCCTTATTATAGTTGTAGTATAATGGGCCCCAAAGCCCTATTCTAATTCTTAAGGCCCCTATCTTAGTTTAAGGCTTAGGAGGTCTGGGTCGGGGTTTAACGACTGTCGAAGCCTGATCATTAAAGAACCCTCATCGTAGCCTTCATGATACCCTTATAGTATTTTAGGGTGTAGGGTTTAGGGTTATAGTATCGTTCTAGAACCCCTTTTCTGGACCCGCAAGATACCAATGTGCCCTTATAGTACCTTTACAGGACTATATCACCCTTCCAGAACCTCAAAAGTATTCTTGCAGAAGCTTACACTACCCATAAGAAGCCCGCAGAGTACCCTTACAGTCCTTTTAGAACCCTTTCTGGAAACCTTATACTATACTAAGCCCCCCGAAGCCAAACCCCCAAACCCCTAAACCCTAAACCCCTAAACACCTAAACCCCTAAACCCCTAAACCTTAAATCCTAAACCCTAAATCCTACACCCTAAATCCTACACTCTAAATCCCGAAACTCTAAATCCCTAAAACCCTAAACCCTACATCCTAAACTTGGCTTTTCTTGGCCTCCTCTGGGTCCGCCACAGCAGGGGCGAAGCCGCCCTCGTCGCCCACGGCCGTGGAGTCCAGGCCTCGGAGGGGCTTCCCCCAATAAGCCAGGAAAATAAACGGTTAAAGCTTCAGACAACTACTAAATTATAAGAACCCCAAAAGTCCAAAGGTTGGGTATTGGAGAACTAAGAGGGTGACAACGTGTTTTGGCGCCTTAAGAACCTCGGCTCCGTTACAGGGGTCCACAGCTTAGGGTTAGGGGGTTTTGGGTTTAGGGTTCAGGGTTTAGGGGCTTAGGGTTTAGGGTTCAGGGTTTAGGGGTACCAGAAGGGTTGTACGAGTCTTAAGAGTTCGAGTAGGGCTAGGTTCCCTTGTCGCCTTTTTGTACATGGTTCTGTAGCCGGTGCCAAGAAGGGTTCTGTAACATATTCGAAAGTGGTTTTGGTGTGGGCCATACTGAAAAATTTTCTGAGGGACTCTAAGGTGCCGTGCGAGTAGTTACTCACACTTCTGCATTACATTCGAATTCCAGCGGGCTTTGACTCCCGATTGTAGGGCTTGAGGATCTAGGGTTCAGGGCTGAGTCTTCGACTTAATCTTCAGGGCTGCTAAATCTCTCGCAGTCTGGCTTTTCCGGTGGAGCCGGTCGTCAAAAAGGGTTTGAGGAGCCAACTTGCACCCGCCACCACCACAACAGGGACAGCAAAAAGAAGAATCATACCACCAAGCAGCCTTAATAACCAATAACACCTGGCAGGCCGAAACAATCGTGCGACCAAGGAGAAGCAGAACACTATAGTACGAACAGCAGCAAGAAGACTGAACAGCAACAATGACAACAACCACAACAACAATAACAGTGTTTACTACCACTGCCGCTGCCTCCTACTACTACTACTACTACTACTACTACTCCTAGTCCTAGTCCGAGTCCTAGTCCTAGTCCTAGTCCTAGTCCTGCTCCTGCTCCTACTCCTACTCCTACGGCTGCTGCTGCTACTGCTGCTGCTGCTGCTACTACTACTACTACGACGACGACGACTGGTACCACTACATACTAAAGCACGACGACGAGGAGGAAGCGGACGAGGACCACCACTGATGTACCAACAGTTACCATCATAAACAGAACAATCATCATACACATCCGAAGTTGCGGATTGCTTTGAATATCTTCCAAACCAACCCCTTCACGGCTGCACGCGGCCAACGACTAGCATGCCTTCTTCTGGGTGGGATCGACGGTTGTGGGCTTTGGGTTTCGCCAGCCTCTGGAACTTGTTTCATTTGTATTCTCCATCCCCGTTTCCGATCCTGCACCGAGTTCGGAACTTGAGCCCCTGAATGTCCTAAAGTGACGTCCTCACTTGGAAGTAGATGTCTTGCACTCGTTCCCGATGCCAGCCCACACCGAAAGGGCCCCAATCCCGAAAGCGCGGTCGAGGCTCCATACTTCTTCTTGATGATGCCCTTCAGGTTGTGGTAGGTCTCTGAGCCGAGCTTCATGGCCTCCCAAAAAACGCGGAACCAGTGGGTCCGGAACGGGCTTCGAAGGCATTCTTGGGGTCTCTGAGCCGAAATCCTAAAACTTATAAAACGGCCCAAAGAGGCCCATGGGGCCCGAAGCAGAGCAGCGAGTGGAAGGCTTTGGCCGAGGGGCCCGGGGCTTGGCGGCTACCTACGTGGTCCCGTTAAGTCCAAAGCTGGTTTCGTGATGCCTGAGCTTAGGGCTTAGGGCTTTGTTTGGGGGTTTAGGGGTTTAGGGCTTAGGGTTTTGGGCTCAGGGTTTAGGGCTTAGGGTTTTGGGCTTAGGGTCTAGGGCTTAGGGGTTTTGGGCTAGGGCATGAGAAGCGACCACTCAGGGTCTTGTGCATTGAGATCCCGGTGATGGCAGTGCCTCGTGCGCCGTACTTCTGTCAGTACGCAGCACACATACCGCCCAATGAGGTAATGGGTATTGAAGGGTATTGGGTATGATCCGCATTGGGGCCCTCTGCTCAATGTCTGATCGTCGACATGTAAACAAAACTACATGCCAGTCAACTTCACGGAATGCAAACAGTCATGCACAAAGCGGTACTCCGAAATCATTCGCCCAGAAATCCTTCCGAACTATGACTCTGCGTTTTTGGGGATTTCTTGCTTGAATTCGGCCTCCGCGAAGGTCTTGGCACCCACGGGGATCAGGAAGAACTCCTGTGACAATCATGATCGTTCCTCGTCAAAGCGATTCACGGGCCACACCCCACTTCGTTTGTTTCCATGGAGTCTTGTCGGAAGGCACAGATAAACTAAATACAGTGTTTAAACATGGGGCCATTGCATGGGGTGATTAGGGGTATAGGTATATGGTACAGTATAGTATAGTCATTTAGACTAAGCTCCTAATACACCCTGAAGCCTCCAAACCTTAGGCCCTACCTGAACCCCAAACAGCCCCAGGTTTATAAAAGGTACGATAGAGGGACGAAGAAGGAACCCTCAGACCTAGGCTTTCTAGAAGCTCTGAGCAAGCCCTAAACCCTAACCCACAGAAACCCACAAAAGTATAAGCTCCCTGGGTGCTGCGAAAGCCTGGAAAGCCAAGAAGTTGCCGGCGTGGACACCGCCGTTAATGACCTGAGCCAGAAGTGAAGCCCGAGTTAGGGCTTCGGTGCTTTTTTGGGACATTGGGGTGCTTGGGGTAATATAGGGGCCTTAGTAATTAGAGTAGGATTTTGGGGTATACTATACTAGAATTTAGAAGAAGGAACCCCCAAACTAGTCTTGGTAAGTATTTTATTTAGGCCCCTATAGTAGTTGAGCCGGTTAGGGTTTGGGTTTAGGGTTTAGGGTCTCGAGTTTCGGGTTTCGGGGGTTAAGGGTAGCCAAGGCCTGTTCTGGCCTCTTGGGCTTCGCTTTAAAAATCGTGATTCTCGCTGTCCTTTTTGCTGCTTTTACTGTTGCTTCTGTGAAGAGGCTACTGTTGCTGCTGTGCCAGGGCATGCTTACATCCAAATACACACTGGCAGCCCTGAAGCTGTGGTTTGTTAAGCTGCCAAACCCCGCTGGCAGCGTTCGTCTGTTTCCACGTTTACAGCCTTCGTCCCATCTGAGTAACTGACCAAATCCCTGACCCTGCACACTCAACTCTCAAGCCGAAAACCATACAACCTGAGACAGCTCCAGAGACACTGATCCGGGGAAGCTGCGTTGAAGCACGGCACAGGCATGGACATGAGGGGCTTGCCCGCGATCTCGTTAATGTGCCTCGGCTGCGATGCAATGCAAAGGCTCTGCATTGGGACTCGCGGGTTCCGGCGAATTGGGTTTGGGTCCTTCGATTTGCGGCTTAGCGTTTTGGGGCCAAACCCCAAGATGTAAAGCGCAAGCCGTACGGCGAAAGCATTAATGACTTTAGGGTTGCAAGCTGTGTGCCCGGGTTCAGGGTCAGGGTTTCTTGCCTTAGGATGGCGCTGAGGTGCTACTACGGGGGTTTGTCTGTTGAAAGCTTGAACCCTCCTTGCCTTAGCGATGCAAGAAACTGTTAGAGTTGTTGGGAAGTGCGTGCTATAGAGTATATCTATATTGCCTTTCATATTGTCCAATTTTCGATAATACATCTACGGTTGATGATATAAATCCTGCATGAGCCATAAAAAGGAATATACCAGACTTCCCATAGTTTAGGGTCCTTAACATAGCGCAGGATTTATACCATCAACAGTATGTTATATTTATATTGCCTTCTACCTTGTAAAATTTTCTTTAATGCCTATAAACTATATGTATATTGTCTTTTATATTGTACAAGTTTTCTATACTACATAGTAGTACCAATGTACATGGGCAGCAGCTCTCCCCGCCGCCTACAACGCCCTCGTGAGCCCGGCGGCTTGAAGAGGGGAAGACCCTTCTGCGCAGCGCCAGCGCGGCAGCAGGCCATGGACACACCTGCCGCAGGGTTGAGGATTTTTGTGGGAACTTTTTGGCGGATTTTGGGGGGTTTGAGGGGATTTTGGGGATTTGGGGTTTTAGGGTTTGGGGTTCGGGTTTATGGTTGCGGTTGAGATAGGGATGATGAGGGTGAGGAAAGAAGTTGATAATGATGACGGGCTGGTGGCCGCCAGCTGCTGAAAATGAAGATGGCAGCCATATGGTAAGCTTAGGTGATGACCACGGCGATGGCTGGGCATCAGGAGAACTGGTAGAGTTCGTACGACTTACAAACGTTGCCGGATCTCGGTACGACGGTTCTCGAGTCGCTCAAAACGGAACATCTTTTTGATCCATCTTCCCCGGTTCCACCCAGAGATCCCAATACCCCTTAATTAAGGAATATACCTTAAATCATAATCATAAGCCCCCTACAATTTGAGGTCTATTCCTTAACTAAGGGGGTATTGGGTTCCCCGGTTCCAACGGCGAGAGGCCCCGGATCTGGGAAAACCTGGGAGCACGAGCTTTGGCGCTAGGAGCCCCAACTCTGGGTTGCGGTTGAAGGGAACTTAAAGTTAAGCTACAATAATAAGGAAAGCCCTATTATTTGGGATATATCCCAAAATTTTGTTACAATAGTAAGGAACCCCTATTATTTACTATATAATCCCATTATGGGTAACCTAAATGAAAGGCCTTAGCCCTATCATTTACTATATACCCCACTATGGGCAATCTAAGTGAAGCTCCTAAAACAGCAACCCAGATTTTCCCCTTTCTCTCTCTCAGCACCAGAGCTCCAACAAGCCGGTATTCCCGTCGCCTAGAATGGCGTTGGCTCCCAGGTTCGTCTTGTTCTCCGTGGCATCCTTTAGGGTTTAGGGTTTAGGGGTCCAGGGGTTTATAGGGTTTATAGGGCTTGTAGGGTTTGTAGGGTTTAGGGTTTGCAGCCTTCCACTCAGGGAACGTAACAGCCCATAGTTGGTGGCGGAAGGGCGGCAGATGATCATGATTCTGGGAGCAGGCATGAGATGGGAAGGTCAAACGGCCTGATCTAGATTTGTGAACTCTCGTTGTACAGTGGCACAGCTAGACGTGCTGGTACCTTACGCAAGTACGCAACAAAACTACCTCGTACAGAAAAAGCAAGCCTACCCTTACCAAGCCTACCCTTACCAACCAACTGTTTCTGCGGTCTTCGGATTCAGTGCTTTTTAACAAAGAGGGTCGAGAGATAACGATGCTTTCTCTGGGAATCTGATCACCGAGGGGCCAAGTCAATCATGATCTTGTCGATGCCCTGCTGGTCTGCCGGGTCCTGACATTTGCACGAAGCCCTGCTCGCGCCCGCGCACATACGGTTTAGGGTTTAGGGTTTAGGAAGTTTAGGGCTTAGGGTTTATGGTTGAAGGTTTAGGGTTTCTTCTTTCCTTCATTCGGTGAATCTCCATTCATGATCTCTGAAGGGTGTCGCGCGAGGGCAGCACAGCACCTAGCCCTGGAGGCGAGCACCCACAGCTCTTGCCACGTCCAAATGTTTGGGGTTGTAGTACTGGTTCCCTGTTGGGGCTATATTAAAGATGATCATTTTTAATTTCTAGTAGGGTTTATTAATAAGAGTACGAGTTAGCAAATATGCAGCACACAATGGGTTATCCAGCTTCGACCGAGAAGCAGCGTCAAATAGCGATGGTGATGCAAGAATGCCTCCTGTCCTTGCCAATGAGGGCGGGCGCGATCTTGGATTTCACGTTGTCGACTGCCTTCGAGACACCTAGCAGCCAAAGACGAAAGTGAAACCGCGTAAACTCCTGACCAATGAAACATGTAATTGCAGGCCCCTGGTGTAAGTTTGCCACCGCCGGACGAATCTCAGGACCATACTCTCATTTCCTAGACCTCCGCACGTGGCATCACGTCGATTTCGAAGCCGCACGTCTTCATGAACTTGACGACTTCAACCCCTTCAACACATGACCAACGATGGCAACAATGCTGGCAGTGGGAATCAGAGTGCATGGTGGTTGTTCGAAATGTCCTTCTGTTGGAGAGACGATCTTGAACAAACCTCCTTATTGGGAGATCCCAGCAACGGCGGGAAACGACCTTGCGGGACCAAATCCCAAAAGCGACAAGGATTTTCAAGGCCCTTCAAAGGACCCCCGCCCCCTGGTGAGGAGCCATCGACTCTCCCTTCGTTGGTGTGTTTCAGTTTGGCAGGGACCCAGTAAGACTTTCAGTAAGATCCTGAGAATGATCGCAATTGGCACCTTTGCCCATGTAGTCCTTGCCACCGTCTCGCAACTCACAAGCCTGGGGGGTTCAGGGTTCGGCGTCAGGGTCGAGGGTTCAAGGTTCCGGGTTTAGGGTTTCGGGTCAGGGTCCGGGTGTAGGAATTCTCCAGAGGTCAGCTTGCTTTCCACCTCGAACTCTTCTGAGAAACGCCACGTTCCCGAGTGGGTCACGTGCCAAAGTAGAGGCTACTGCAGGGCACCCAATGCGGATAGGAAGTATCAGCTTTCACAGAATAGGGGTTGAATCTGAGCTCTCCGAAGAATAAACTCCTGAACACAAGATGGAGCAGAGGCTGCTCAATTCCAGGGCCTAAAGATGACCCTGAGCCTATGCCTTCAAACCTTGACCTTAACTTGCCAGGAGCATTGTAATCCAGCAACCCCAACATTTTTCAGTATGACACCCCTCTGAACACAAAGGTAGGTCTCTTGGGTTGCAGATTTAGATTCATGAACGGCCGGTGCCCCAAATCCGCCACACTCGGGGGTTCCTCATTGTGAAACCGCTGCGTTTTCTCTAAGTCGGTGAGGTTTCCGGTACTGTAAGTTTCAATAGGGCTTTACTTTTGGGGTATATGGTTCCAAAAAATATAAAAAGGACCCCCCCTAATTATAAATTCCCCCCCCTTCCCCATGATTGTAAACAGGCCCCCCCCCCTTTTCAGGGTATTGGTAATTCTTGAGGCGTTTATATCATGCCCGCACCTGGAGAGCTCTCTACAAAGCCCCTGGCCTCATTCTCGCCCGTGGAGGCGCCGCTGGGCACCGCAGCGCGGAAGACACCAGCTTCGGTGGTGATTTCCACCTGGAGCTCCGAATTTAAAGAGGCTTCGAGTTTAGGGTTTGGGGTTAAACCACCTTTAAAAGGGCGGGGCTTAAGGGCTCGGCGCGTATATAGGTTGAAGATTGGGGCATGAAGGATTAGGAAATCTCTTTCTTCAAGCTTCCTTGAAGTAGTCGACCGCTTGAAGGGGGATTCTGCTTTGTAACCCTCCTGTTTTTTGAGAGCCGCCGGCTCAGGGCTTAGGGGTAAGCTTTTCGAGGTTTAGGTGAAGAGGTCGGCTTCAGACCGTGCAGGTCTGGAACCGCAGGGACGGAAAAGCGTCTGGATCCGGATGACCGGGAAGAAGGATGACAGATGTCCTGAGGTTCATTACCGAACAGGCCCCAACGGATGAAAACCTGACTGACAGGGTGTAGCAGACACCCCTTGTCAAGCCTTGCGCACCATCCCGCGATGCCTTGAATCGGAAATCTGAAAACCCAGCTCACCCAAAGGTGCTTTTCCTCCAATGTCCCATATACAAGGATGACACCAGGAATCTCAAAGACTCTCGCACATCAAACTCCCGAAGCAAATTTGCCCTACTACACACACCGCTGGAATGATGAATCCATTACGGGTCTCTTCTTGAAGGAAGCTACCCCCAAACCCTAAACTTTGAACTTTTTGAGCACAAGAGAGAATTTTGCAGAGCCCGGTTGCCTCAACGGTTGGGTTGCCACGAGAGTCGAAGATCTGACGGGCGTGCACCTTCTGGATCGGCATCTTGTCACCTGATCGTCCTGCAGTTTTTGGGTTTTTTCGGGGAATTAATGTTGAGGCTTCAAATTCTGGAGTGTTGTTTTAGATTCAAGCCGAGTGCAGGTGCATGGAACCACAATCTTCATCCTCCGCGTCCTAATCATCATCAACTGGAGGATGATTGTGGCCATCATGACTGTGATACCAACCCTTGTCAAGCTCCCGTCATCGCAATCATCATCTTCAGCAGCAGCAAGACGCCGACAGCAACGCAACCCAACCGGACAAGTCACATGCGACCCGTCTGTGTCAGACAAGTGGCAGCTGTTTGCTGTTGTACGCACACTGAGTGAGCTCCGGATGCTTTAAGCCAAAATGCTGGAAAGGAAAGGCTTGCTGCAGCAGCTCGACGATAACAAGCAAGTCTCAGACGGAGACAGAGACTGAGAACAGAGGGGGAGAGCGAGAGAGACAGAGCGAGAGAGAGAGAGAGAGAGAAATAGCAACAAGGGTGAAGTCGGTAGAAACTTGCCGCCTCAGCGATAAACTAAGTTGAACACCCAAGACGCCCCCAAACATTTCAAGCCTCGGAGGCATGCGGGGCAACAGAAAGCCAGAAGAAACGACAGAAAGACGGACGTACATAGCGACTGTAGGAGATCACCACAGCGCTTCCCTTATCAGGTTCGAGTTCAGGATGTGAGCTTAGGGTTGGAGTCCCGGTCATCGGGCATTTCGGACGCCTTTTCCATACCATTGCAACGAATCTGCCAAGTTCAGCTAAGGGGAAGTCTGTACAGATCCCGTGGCAGGTGGA